GTGTGTGTGTGTGTGTGTGTGTGTGTGTGTGTGTGTGTGTGTGTGTGCATATGATTTACCTTTCTTTACGTCTAACACCTGTGATGTGATGCATTGCGACGTGTTGAAAAGCCACGACAACCAGAATGACTCGTGAAGCCACATCCTGCTCCAAATTACTGGGAAGCAGCTAAGGAATATAATTCAGATTCTGTTTGTGAGTTGAGGGAAATCGTATTAATGACAAACAGTTTGTCGGCAAATGCAAGCAAAAATATTTACAAAAATAAAAAACTAAAAGTATTAAAGGGCAAACTAGAACTTGAATTAGAGAAGAGTCAGTAAAAATAATAATATAAAGACGTGGTCTCAAAGCAATTTAATTAAATGGCATGAATAACGACTTAATCACAAAGTTTTTGAAGATATAAAGAATTTGGGTTTCATACAGAATAAGAATTGGTATCATACAGTTATTTATGTCACACAATAGTCAAGCCTGAAATTATTATCCGGCAAGCTTTATTATTAATACGATTAATTCATGAGATGAATGTGTAAGGCGGAACGATGATTTATGTTTTAGCCGGAGGTTGGGGCATTCAAGTTATCCAATGTAGTAGTGCATACTTCTCTCGGTGAACAGTAGGCTCCAACAACAAAACCTGTAACGCGGCTTTTTCCGCCTCCTATAATCCTTCCGAGAGGAAGGAAAGCAGGAAGATTTTCCACACTCCTATAAGGAAGCCTTAATAAATTTCAGGCGAAAAGAGCTCAGAGGACGCCATAGAAGAACTTCTGTGACAATATCGAGGAATATTTGGATGCCAACCGGTTACGGAAAGTCTTGTCAAAGAGTCTCTTTTCTCCCAGTTACATACAGAGGCCGAATGGCGAGTGGACTTCATCTCGGAATGATATGCCAGAGATTCTTTTAGATACACACTTCCCTGGCTGTAATGTTGTGTCGAGTAACTCGCCCCCGGCTTTTGCACCTTTATAAATAAGCTCCTTTATAACTTTCAAATCCCCTGTGTTGGATGGCACTTATGCGCCTGACATATTATGTCCCAGCCTAGGGAGGGGAAGGGATGCAGATCCTCTCATGTGAAAGCTATTCGACCAACCAGCCTTTCTTCTTTCTTCCTAAAGATCCTGGAAAGGATAATGGACACATTCATTTGGCAAAAGATGGATCCCAAGGAGCTATCTGACTGTCAAGAAGAGGAAGAGTATTCTCTCTACTCATCTAGGATCTTACCCCTACACTCTACTTATTCGCTTTTAGGGCACAGGTTCCAAAGCAATTGCGTATGGTAATGATCTTGCCCTTACTGGAATTGGTAGCACTGTCGCTCTCTAGTGAAGTGAGATACTTGGGCGTCATCTTGGACAGAAAACTTACCTAGCAACGGAACTGCCGGCGAAGAGGGCTACGGCTTTATAAATAGTGTCACAAACCCTGGATAAGTCCCTCAAAAATTCTTAGCTTAACAAGGTACAACCAAAGCCATGGAAACACTCCTAAACTTTGTGCCCGTACAACTTTCTGGGAAGCTACAGGCGAACTGCAATGCAGTAAGACTAAATGTCCTGTTCAAATGGAAAGACACCAAATTCGGCCACACCAACATTCTAAATAACTGCCCAGACTCGCTTGGATCCCCAGATTTTTCAACACCACCAATGGAGCTCAAGAACAATTTCTCCCATCAAATCCCTTCAAGGAAGTACTGGGAGGATGACTCGGTTTGGGGACTTCAAGATGACTGCACGGCCATCCAAATGGATGGCTCTAAACTAAATTTAAGATAAGGGAGAGGTATACTCTCGAAGAGCCTCTCACTAGACCTCTTTTTTACCTACCACTTTAGTGTTTTCCAAGCAGAACTCGCGGCCATAAAAGAGGCTGCACTCTGGCTTATCGCATCTTCTCTTCACCTGCCTTCAGTAACTATATACTCCGATATCCCAATTGCTTTCAAGTTACTGGATTACTGTGAGA